TAATCATCGCATGTCGATTCATGTCATTTGTACAGGGTACTCTACACAAAAATAAAGTAAAACCAGCTTACTTAGTGCTAATGATTTTGTGATTTCCCACACGAAGAACGTTCTCAGAAATAATCCGACATGCTGATCAGCCCACCAACAATCGGCACCAAAATTGATCACTCCTGTGACCTGTCACGGTAAATTCGGTATGTTTTACGAGTTTTTTTCTCCAAATCCCAACATGAATTTACACATGTAGGCGAATGTTGTCAGCTCTGTGTAAATAGATATTTTTACTGGGAATGTGCCCCATTTTACGTACGAGAAGCCCTTACACAACGACATAGTCATCAACACACATAGACATCCTATACCTACTAATCGACATGATAGCTTCGTAATTTGGGGAAGGTGGGGGTGAAAGTGCACCATGCAAGTTTCCAAATGTGTAAAGGAAAATAAAGGAAAGAAGTACAATACAATGTTGGTAAGCGATACAAAGGAAATATCTCCTTACGGCAGCGACTTGATACAACTATATTGATGCTGGAGGTCACCATATTTGTTCTCGCGTTCAATAATACGGTGATAAATCAGGATTCACAAGTACAACGAATTTACACAATGTTTTACCATGAAATCAAACCTACCAACCATTTTCATATCTTCAACACTGCCATGGTTTTGGCGATGATGAATCTCACATTCATTATTTTCTTGACTGGGCTCACACAGGGTTCAATGTTCCGTGGCTTGAATGTAATTGTACACCACACGTGAATGTAAACTAGCTTGCACAGTAATTCGTTTCAGTCATTGAGGTTATACATTTGTTCAATTACTTATTTATTTATTTATTTATTTACTTATTTACGATAATAAAAAATCATACATGTAATTTCTTAGACCTTTTCATAATGTAAACTGATACATTTCATCTCCCGAGCGCTTGCTTCGTTTTTGTACAACACACTGGAAATAACAAAATGGCTGACACCATCATAAATTGCTGGTCATAAAAAATAGAATACGCATGCGCATCATTATGCAAATTAGTCCACTCATCGATTCCTATTAGTTGTATTCATGCAATTGGGCATAAAAAACTTTAAAAAAAATAATAAAAAAATACATAAAAAATGCTAAATTTTAATTAAAATGTAAAACACAACAATAAATTGCAGCAGCCAATCATTAGTAACATTCTTACCAAGTTACATAAAAATCGTTTTAATGCTTCTTGAGATATAACTGAAATAGCTTAAAATTCACACATTATTATGCAGATGAGCTCATTAATATGCATGGCTGTCAACCAAAAACTAATCAAATCTGCGCATTGCCCCAGACAAGCTATATACCAAGTTTCATTGAAATCCGAACATTGGTTCTTGAGATATCGATGGAACAGACACAGACAGACAGACAGACAGACAGACACACACAGACACACACACAGACACACACACAGACAGACACACACACACACAGACACACACACTAACTGCAAAGACTCCCTTTTTGTGCTTCACACACGGGAGTCAATTAGATAATTGAAGGTATCACCACGAAATTAAAAAATCTAAAAGAAGTCCACATGTAGTACCTATATATGTAATATCAAAGCAATTAGACTTGCGGTTTTTAACAAGAAGTCGAAAATATCACTTTTTACCAAAAATATTCACCAGAATCATTATGAAATGAACAAATCTGAGAGAGGTCTACCCAAGGTACACCAAGTATCAAATCATTCAGGCTTGTAGATTTCAAGAAGAAGTCGAAAAAGTAAAACATTGACACGAACGACGACGACGAACAATCACTCATATGATAAGCTCCGCTCGACAAAGTCGACAGCGGAGCTAAAAATATGCTGCTCATATTATGTAAAACTTTCAAAAGAAAACCGAGATGCCTACAATAAGATTTTCAGCGAGCAAAATGAAATGCAGGTAGTGCATGGTACGAATTATGTATAAAGCTGTGAGCAAAATTCAAACCAGACTAGTGACAAAATCAAACAAGATCACACATACCTAATTCAAACCCAAACTGCAAACAAAATCAAACAGCAGATTACATGCGATATCCATATGTTCTTCCATGTATACGAGTAACCTGAAACTGTTCTTTGACCTGATAGATCAAGTCACTAATTACCCAATCAAAATGCTGGATTGTGCCAATGTGTTCGAATTGACAGTTGAGCAACTTCATGGTGAACGCAACATGGAAGAGATTTACTGATGTTGTAGTGCGATCTTTTGGCTTTAATTTTGATAACTCATTACGGTGATAACTCATTGTCGAAACAGTTTACTCATTCACGCTACTCACAATAAACATTGTACTCTTGAATATGTGTCAATGATTCTGGAAAACCTAAATTAGAGTCATTTAGGAAATGTTCACAAAATTATGCCTAAATTAGAAATACGACAAGTCACTGAAAAGCTGATTCAAAGTGTAGCCTCAGACTGGTCACTTTTAATCAAAAATACCAATGAAATACCAGCAAAGTACATGTGATTATTTGTTATTTGCTCAGGATTGTGGATGTAAGTTTTACTTTTTCAATTAGCAGTGGTGTAGAATACCAACCAACATTTCCCAGCTTTTTCGACACAGAACTCTAAACTAGACAGTTATAATACAATTTCAACCCAACTCAGTAGATGATCGTGACACAGCTCTAAACTTAAGGATTGTGTCAGCGAATTAAAAAATTAAGTTGTACAGCTAACCTACTGCTGAGAAAAATATTTAGTAACGAGCCTCAGCAACTTATTTTGATTTTGATTTCCCTCAAAGTGGATAATACTTTAATTTGTCAGACGTGAAGTTGCATATAATTGTTGATGAACAGTGCAGATAATCATCTATACTTGTTCCATCTTTGTCACGGTTATAATTCATGTCATGCACTCTTAATTTGTTATTACTGTAAAAGGATTAATTATTCACTGGGTTTTAATTTTGCTTATTTCGCTGACTGGAAAATACACTAAATTAAAACCCAGTGAATATATAAAATTTAGCATAGAAGACATTATCTAAATGGTAAAACCGTGAATTTAAAACTTTACTGAATATGCCTGAAATGGTAAATCAGCGAAATTTCAACCCAGTGAAAATTAGTCATTTTACAGTACTCTAGCCCAATACAAGGAAATAAATCATGACTACTGTAAAATAATTTATTTTAGCTGGAATTAATTTTCACTGAAATAACTTTTTGTGTGTTTTGTATGGAATTTATTTTCACTGATTTTTGCCAAGTTGAGTGTAAAATATAGGTAAAAAATATATTTGCTGGATTTTATTTTCACTGAATCTTTCCTTCAGCAAAAATTAATTCCAAGCGATTAAAGTATTTTACAGTATTAAGTATTATTAAACAGTGAATAGCAATCTCAATTCCTTTGGTATTCATCTGGGTGTGAGTGTTGGAGTATATTCACCAACAAAGTAACCAAATGGTGGTACTTACATGGTAGGATCAGTTATTTTAATCTCTTCTGGTTTGACAAGTTCTCCTTGCTTCAAACTACCTATGTCCATATCTGTCAACGATTTCAATGCTTGCAGAGCTGCAGCATCGTAAGACGAGTCCACAGTAGGACCAGCCCCGTGTGCAACTAATGGCGGGTTGGTAGCAATAGAAACCAGAGACAGATACTCTGGTTTATTACCCTGAGATATAAAACAAGTCATAATGATCAGTGATGAGGTGGTGGTCTAGATTCACTGCAAAACTTGAACAGTCTCTCAGGACACAATCCTTTTAAAGTCAAGAAAGTTTTTTTTTTTACAATGCTTGAAACAGTTCATTAATTTTATCAGAATAAACCATTAATTTGTTTCACAAGCGTATTCTGATAAAACATTTCAGGTGTGTATAAAGTATGCAGGACATTTTTCTTCCATCCCTAGTCTACATAGCACAGTAGACTAATACAAGACCAACCACTATTTTTGATTATGTAAAACCATTCAGTTCTAATGTTATTTTACATTTTCGAGTAGCTTTAATTTAGCGAATTTTTCTTATCTTCGAAAATAAAATAATCAAAGAAAGCTTAGAAAGAACTCCCATGTGCTGAGAGTATTGGAGACACATTAAATATAATTCGAAATTACTTAGCTGAAAACTAATTATGCAAATCAGAAAATTAATATGACCAGATTTGAGTGTAAAACTAATGAGGTCTGCGCAATGTAACAGAAAATCTATGTCTCCAAGTTTAATTGAAATGTGATTAGAACCAAAAAATTATGAATTATTATGCTTATTAGGGAATTAATATGAACAGATTTTTACCCCAAACTAATTAGGTTTGTACATTGTCCTAGAGCATCTTTGTACTAAGTTTCATTGAAATGGAATAATTAGCACCGTGAAAACTCCAAAATTTCGACCCCTCTAAAAATTTGACCGCCTATTTATTTGCCGGGTTTCGGTGTTTTATTTACCTCCAAATTTTCGACTCCACTAAAAATTGCCGACTCATTCTTATTCGAAAATTGCGACCAGTTTTAGTTTTCCCCC